TTTAATCCCAAACTCAGGATTCTTAACCTACTCAATTTTACAAGAATTATCATATTTTTCTTATATTTTTCGGAGTACCTTTCCGGTACCCACTTTTCATAGCCAGTACCAGTTTCTGGCACCAGTTCTTATTATTTTAACTTGAAACTCGTTTTACAAGTCCTACATATTATTCTAGTAATTATCATGCACTTATTATAATTTTCCAGGATACTTTCTCGGTACGCATTTATACCGACTAGCAGAACAGGTATCTGCACTTTTCGTCAGAAAAACGACTTTCAACATTATTACTCACTTACTATAATTATTAGAGCCTCATAATAATTATTAGGGTCAATTATGGAATTATCTCATTAAACTCATAATTAACTGATTAATTTCCTTAATTAACGGTGCGGGTTCTTACACGATTCATGGTTCAGGTCCTTTAGCCAATTAATAGCCGAGGTCCCTTAGTTGCCCCATTTTCTACTTCTGAATATATGCCCAAGGTAGTTATGACAGCCTACCCTGAGCTATTTCATCTCAAAATGCTTCATTTTTTAAGAAACGTTTCTGCTTCCACGTAATGATAACTGTTTTTTACGTGGCTCTTCTTGATAAGTGAGACGTGTGAAACTTCCCTTTCCACACTGCCTTGAATTAATTTGCAACTGTCAGAACGTCCCTCAACTGTTTTGTCTGCTCGTGAATTTACTTATTTGCCCCTGCCTTTTCATTTCGTGGGCTTTGTCTATTTAACTTCATTTTCATCTTCATATTTTCATATTTCAATATTTCTTTCGAACTTCTCATTTTCCCTTACTCTACTCTTCCTGAACTTTCTTCCTGTCCGTTTGCTCATCATTTCCGCAGTTCTACTTCAACAACTTCCCCAGTGCTTTCTCATGTATGTTTCACAAATTCTTTGATTTGTTGCTACTGCTATCATTTTATCCACATCCTGTATGCTTTTTCCTTTTTGATTTTCTCCTTTTCATCTTTCCATATTTTTCTTTCTATTTTGTGCCTTCGAACATGCATATCTCTTGTTCTTCTATTCATTTGCTATTCAACTTGTCTGATATGCATTATGGCTATCATTTCCCACTGTTCCTTACTTATTTCTCCAAAACTCTTCTTAGTATGATTGGGGGGAATTTTACTGGTCGAGGGAAACCCACTTGTCCTCGTGGCTTTGGCCGCAGCGATAAGATGGACGAGGAAGAAGAAGAAAGGTTTATTCAGAGCCTTTCTCTTGGTCTGAGGATTTGGTTGTTTGGTAGACCCCGGACCGAGGAAGAGAGGCAAGCCGCCTTATTAAGGGGATATCGAGGAAGTGGAAGTAGGGGGAATGTCTTCACCTTATCCTTCAACTCAAGGACGCAACCCATGCATCAACCGTAATCCGAGGGATTTATCAAGACTTTCTAATCGTAGTATAGGTCAATCCCCTACTCCTGCATGTTTACCCCAAAATCCAAGTCATAATCCTCCCTTGTCCTCATCTCCTCACCAAGTTGTAAGATCCCGCACCGTTAAATTAGGAATTTGAATAATTTAATTATGAGTTTAAGAAAAAATTTCATAATTGGCCTTGAATAAATATGGTAAGGTTAGAATAATTATCACGAAGGTTTAATAACGCTTAAAGTCGCTTTTTTGACGAAAATTGCATATACCGGTTCTGCTTCATGGTATAAGTGCGTACCGGTGAAGTATCCTAAAAAATTATAATAAGTGTATGAATATTCCTAGAATAATATTTAGGACTGGTATATCAAACATGACGTCAGAACTAATACCGTCTACGTAAAAACGCGTGCCGGCAAAGTGCTGCGAAAATTATAATAAAAATATGATAAATCCTAGAAAAATGGCTAGTTTAAGAATCTGAAGTTTGAAGTTAAAATGATTAGCGGAGCTATTAGCACTAATAGCGACGGACTAATTTAATGAGCCTATATATATACTAATTACACAAAACCCTAGGCTGATTGTACAACTCCTACGTGACACTCAGAATTTCGTTTTGTTCTCCAAACTTGCCACCCTTCTTCCCTTCATGAAACTCCACCAAAATCCATCCTTTCTCTTTGATTCTTCCACCTACACATTATAAACACTTGGTTGTGTGCTTGGTAAGGGAGAAAGGTGCTACCTTCTGAGTTGTTGGTGCTGTTTAGTGTGAGTTGAGGGTCGAGTTCCTTGGTTTGTGGTGAGGGAGTCATCTTCTTGGCACTTGGTGCTTCAAGAATCTGCCTTTGAAGGAAAAGAACCAAGCTTGCAAGCCAAATTCGTGGCCTTGTGAAGTCAGTGTGGTTGCCACCCTTCTTTCCTCATCTAAAGCTGCGTTCTCTATTATCTACGGACTGCCTAGATCCTGGAGATGCCTTAGCTGGTTCCTTGCCTTAGTTTCTACTTTCTTTTTTGTTCTCCTATTTTTATTTTCTATCTTTTCTTTTTTGTCTGTTTTGCCCTTCTGATGTACCAAAAAAGAAGAAGAGAGAGAGAAAGAGAGCGACACACACACACACACACACACACACTCACACATACACAGGGATAGGATCTTTTGACACCGGTATCAAATCTAAAGTTTGACACCTTATCTGAGAGCCGTTAGATAAAAAAGATCAATGATATCATATACTTATAAATCAGAGTCGTTGATCTTTTTTGATCTAACGGCTCTAAGATGAGGTATCAAACTTTAAATTTGACACTAGTGTCAAAGGATCTTATCCCATATATATATATATATATGTGTGTGTATATATGTCTTTTTATATTCTTATTAACTCATTTTACGTTTGTCTTTAAAGTGCATAATTAAGACATATTCACTTTTGATTTGATTTAAATTATCCCCTCGAGCAACTGACCAAAATTATCGTTTTGACTTTTTCCTCTTGGCTGGGTCCAATGATATGACCTACCCTCAATGTTGTGATATTGCATTGTCCCAGTTTTTCAGTACTCACATACTTACTCATAGAGGTGGCAAACTAAAATTGAGTAAGGTAGAGGCATTAAGCTAATGAGCCATACTATGAAGTTGTGGGAGAGGGTTATTGAACATCGCTTGAGGAGAGATACCAAGGTTTCTGTAAATCAATTTGGATTTATGCCAGGAAGATGTACCATGGAAGCAATTTTCTTGATGCGACAACTAATGGAAAGATACCGAGAAAAGAAAAAGGACTTGCATATGGTGTTCATAGACCTTGAGAAAGCATACGATAGGGTTCCAAGGAAAGTTTTATGGTGGGTCCTGGAGAAGAAAAATGTTCCATTAAAGTATGTAAAGGCAATCAAGGATATGTATGATGGGGCTACTACATGTGTAAAAGCTTGTAACGGATCATCAAGTTATTTTCCTATCATGGTAGGTGTACACCAAGGGTCGGCTCTAAGTCCTTACCTATTTGCCTTAGTTATGGATGAACTAACAAAAGATATTCAAGAGGAAGTGCCATGGTGTATGCTTTTTGCAGACGATATTGTGCTTATTGACGAGAGCAAGGAGGGTGTTAATAGAAAACTTGAATTGTGGAGAAGCACATTGGAATCCAGAGGATTCACATTAAGTCGAAGCAAGACTGAGTATCTGAAGTGTGAGTTTTCTCTGGTACGAGATGAGGACCAAGAACCTGTGCATCTAAATGGTCAAGAGGTACCCGAAAAAGATGCTTTTAAATACTTGGGCTCCATTTTACAAAACAGTGGAGAGATTGATGAGGATGTAAATCACAGAATCAGAGCAGGGTGGATGAAATGGCGCAGTGCATCTGCATTTTTGTGTGACCGCAAAATCCCCCTGAAGTTAAAAGGAAAATTCTATAAAACGGCAGTAAGACCGACAATGCTATATGGAGCAGAATGCTGGCCAGCACATAGGCAACATGAGCATAAGATGGGAGTAGCAGAGATGAGGATGTTAAGGTGGATATGTGGTTACACAAGGATGGATAAGATAAGAAATGAAGATATTCGACGAAAGGTCGGAGTAGTACCGGTAGCCGAGAAGATGAGAGAACATAGATTGAAGTGGTTTGGGCACGTGATGAGAAGACCCATGGATGCTCCTGTAAGAACAGAAGTTTGTTACCAAGAGCTCAACACAAAAAGAGGCAGAGGTAGGCCGAAGCTTACTTGGGGGAAAGTAGTAAAACAAGATTTAATGGAGTGGGATATAGATTGGCGGACAGTATGTCTTAGAACAGAATGAAGAAAAGCTATAAGTATGGTGGAGGGTTAGACCCGCTGTTATTCCTATGTTCCAGATGGTCCCTTTTTAGTCATTTTCCCCTTCATTTCCCCCACTTCTTCTTGTCCCTTTCTTTTTTACTTTTATTTATATATACATATATTGTTATTTTATTTTATCTTATTTTATATTTTTATTTTATTTGTTTATTTTTTTTTTTTTTTTTTTGGCTTTTTTTTTTTTCAACCGTTTTGTATCTTTCATGTGGGTTCATCTACCACCGACCCCAATTAATTTGGGATAAAGGTGTTGTTGATGTTGATGTTGTATCAAAAAATACGATCCCTATTTTCGTCCCTTAATTATCTAATGTGAGTGAGTCCAAGAGTAATCCGTGGCAAGAAATCACCATCAATGAATTAAGTTAGACCAACCATATCAAATGAATCCGACATTGTATTACAATCCAAAAGCTTAAAGGCACTATGTCCATAAGTCATCTCACTTATATACGCTTCATTTAATCCATTTCCAACTAAGGTGAATCACACTTGAATATGCTAAAAACTACGTTCCAACCCATTCTAGATGTTAACAACTCAACGTTAGATACTTTGCTACGTGTTTATATATCTTCCAACAGCCCCTGCACTTGCATGCTAAATTCTCCATCCTTCTCATACATCCCACATGACCCAAAAATAACCACTTCCCCTGCTCATCCCATTCTTAAGCACCTCAACACATACTAACTCCTCCGATTCCACCTTGAAATCCTTTTCCACCCACCTCTTAACAGTGAATGAAGATGTCTCTTGCAGCTTCTCCAGCTCTTGCTTCGACCCAACATGCTTTCACGCGACCTTGCGTAAATTTTCGTCCTAGCATTTGGGGCGATGTTTTCCTTCAATATGATTCAGAATCATTGGTACTATATTTAAATATGCAATTTTTTCGTGCATACGTTAATATGGGTATTGTTACTCTCGTAGGGTTTATTTTTATTTTTAAATTAAAAACTAGGTTATTTCAATATCGGATTATTACGTGTTTAGCTTTTCTTCTAATTATAAGGATAAGTTTGTCCCAACATAATTTTATAAAAGTTCTTATTATAATTTTTTTTAAGATATTATTTTGGAGTTTTTATATTTATTTTTTAGTTTCACCTTTATTTTAAATTTCTATCTATAAATTTTAATTTTTTTACTAATTTAACCTAATAACAAATAATTTTATATTTTCCCTTTCAACATGTCGATAATAATTTTACATAATTACTAAATAATTTATTGTTTTATTTTTTAAGGAATTTTTTTAAATGGTACAAGAAGACAGAAATTAAGATCACTCTACCTGTTCTTCACCAGAAGTACCATTAAGATTCAAGGTCAAGAACAATTGTAGTCTGTACTTCTATTTGCTTTTACAAACACCTTTTATAGTTAAAAATTGAGTGATAGAGCGCGGTTGTAAAACAAAATTATTATTACGTCAGTGGACGTTTCAACTTAATTAGTAATCTTGAATTCGAGTTCTGAGTAAGTAGTTGTATTAAAATTTTGATAAGAAAGGATTTACCGCCTTTGTAGTCTGTACATCTCAATTATATTAACCGGTACAAAAATCTCAACAAATAAAGAAAAAAATTATTACATTTCTTAAGCTCTTCCTAATATACTTCTCAGTTATATTATCAATTTGTTTATGATTTATCTTTCTTCTTAGCTTGGGAAAATTTTCCTTCAATTTTTTTGTATGGTTTTGTCCGATATAATCGGTTCATCTTTCTGCTTCCTCTTTTATGTCTGGATTTTCTAATTTGACTGGCCTAAGGGAATTAATATGTAAAAAAGGTTCTATAGGTAGAAAAGTAATCTTATTCTCTCACACTAACGTACTCAAAACTTCTCTCACAACTCACAAGGTAGTAATATTTTTTATTAGTGTGTGTAAAAATTATTAGCATTACTAATGACATTAAGGTAGAGCTAACAAATGAAGATTTACACATGTCATATTTTAGATTCAGTTTTTGGTGAAAGAAAAATAAATAAATTAAAGTTCGTCCATTGTTCTCTCTTAATTCACTATCTAAAATTCAGATTATTAAAATTAACATACAGAAATATGCAAAGCTTAACAACTGAGTTGTTCAATTAAGAGCTTACTTTTGTATTACAATGTTAAGATCCCCTCACCCATTTATAGTAAAATTTCGATCTTAAACCTAAAAAATAAAACACATGCAGCTGATCAATATTGGAGTATTCCCATAAAAAGAAATTTTTATCATGAAATTTATATATTTAAAAATCTGAATATGCTCCATGAACATTTAATTCCTTGTAACTAATTGCAGCTGGAAGTCAGTGACAATATGAAGCAACAAGTTCAAACGCAAAAAGAGGAAGTGAAGATGATGTTTCTATGTTCAGGCAATAATATTACACAAAAATTAAACTTCATTGACTCAGTCCAACGTTTGGGTATATCTTACCATTTTGAACGTGAAATTGATGAAGCTTTAGCACAAATCCACAATACATTCACCAACAATAACTTCGGCACAGAAGAAGGGAGCCTTCACCATCCTGCGTTACTGTTTCGTTTGCTTAGGCAAAAAGGATATCACATTTCATCAGGTATGTAGAACTTTAAGAAAATATACTAGCCATTAATCATATTATATATATAGAAAAAAATGAATGTCATTTTAAAGGATGTAAAGTTGTGTTATTTTAAGTAAGAGAAAGAGATAGATCATGAGAGAGAGAGAGTGAAAAAAAAAGTGTGAGTCCCAACTCTTTGTGAAAGTAAAATAACATAAGTTGTGTCATTTAAAAGGACGAACGATTTTTTCTTATATATATATATATATATATATATATATATATATATATATATATATATATATACATAGATTCATAATAATCCCACTAACATCTCATTGCTCATATTTGGGTGAATTTTAATAGATATATTTAACAAATTCAAGAACAACAAAGGAAACTTGAATGAAAAACTTGCCGAAGATGTTCAAGGAATGTTGAGCTTGTATGAAGCTGCACAATTAAGGGTTCATGGGGAAGATATACTAGATGAAGCACTTGATTTTACATACACTCACCTTAAGTCCTTGACCAATAAGTTGAACCCATCTCTCGCTGCCCAAATCAGTCACTGCTTAAGACAACCTCTTCACAAGGAAGTTCCTAGGTTGGAGGCAAGGCATTACATGTCTTTCTATGAAGAAGATCCTTCCCACAACAAAGTTCTTCTCACCTTTGCAAAATTAGATTTCAATATGCTACAAAAACTGCATCAAAAAGAAGTCGGCAGTATCACCAAGTAAGTGCTACCAGTCTATAACCATGTCTTCATTTTTAGATTAAAAATTATGAAAATAGAGCATACGATCGAAGTCCAATAGTCTTTTACAGTTACTTTTACTTAAGAAGATTTTTATCACGAGATAGTATTGTTGAAGTCCAACATGCAGAATCACAATCAACCCTTCCCTAACTATTTTTTTTTCCAATACTGATATTCGGGGCAGGTTATATTTACAAATTTTTTTATTTACAAACTCTTACAAACTACACTAAGTATAATCGGTCATACTTTAATCATGCAGTGTACGACCGGTCCGGTCGTACTTAGTGTAATTTGCAAAAAAAATTTGTAAACGAATCTTATCCCATAATATTCATATTGTCAAATTTTGAACAAATATAATAAAATTATTCATGTGCCTTCGAGTTGTGACAAAGTTGCTTCTTGTGGGTAGGAGAACACAAATTTGAGTATGAAAAACAAACTTTTTTTTTTTTTTTTTATGAAAGTATAAAGATAAAGCTGCTTATAATCTACTCTCAAATTGGCGAGTCGTGTGCACCGAATTTGTCCTTTATTTATCTTTACACAACGACTTAAACTTTTAGAAAAGTTTGTTGCATCACACGTATGGTGATATATAACCTATGCTATAAAACTTTTAGACCATAAAAGAGGGAATAGTTCCTTACTTTTTTGTTAAAAAATTAAATAGACAATTCTTGTATTTGTATTGTAGGTGGTGGAAAAAATCAGACTTTACGACAAAGGTCCCTTACGCTAGGGATAGGGTGGTTGAGGCTTACTTTTGGCCGTTGGCATTCTCCTATGAGCCTAAATATAGCACTGGGAGAACGCTAGTGGGCAAATTAGTTGCATGTATCTCTCTTCTAGATGATACTTATGACGCCTATGGCACAGTTGAAGAACTTGAACTCTTCACACAGGCAATTCAGAGGTTGATTTTAGTCCGAAAGGATCAACCAATCTCAGTGGAGAATTAACTCTTAACATTCTGAATTTAAATTTATTGTTGCATTTCTCCTAATTTTGTTGTACAGTTTTTGTTCACAATTCTCTTTTTTTGTTTGATTTTCAGATGGGATATTAGTCCCATTCAATCTCTTCCAGACTGCATGAAATTTTTATTTATTGCAATTGTAAAACTGTGGGATGAAATAGAGTTGGTGACTGCAGAGGGTGGAAAATCCAGCTTGGTGTTGCAATATGTTAAAAAAGCTGTAAGGCTTCTAGTTCCTATATATTAGAACTGATAAATGCTGCTTAATTTGCAACATTCACTTGAATAAAATTTTGGTTATTTTGACTGCAGTTTTGTAATTTGGCACAAGCCTACCTAGTTGAAGCAAAATGGTGCCAAGAGGGCTATATTCCAACATATGATGAGTATAAGGATAATGGAGTTGTATCTTCTACACTCCCACTTCAGATAATATCGTTTCTTGGCTTGGGAGAATTTTCAACTAAAGAGTTGCTTGACTGGATTTTCAGCGATCCAACAATCATAAAAGCTGTATCAGTTATTGGCAGACTCGCTGATGACATATCCTCACATAAGGTACTAAGTTCTTTTTTTATTTTTTATTTTTTATTTTGATTTTTTGAAGAAAAAAACTTTTTGTTTTGTTTTGATTTAGTTTAAGTTTATTTTATGAGAGACAAGTTATTTTTATACAGGTGTAAACATAAAAAGTCTTATATTCAATTTTGATAAGCTTGTATCTAATCGTTCACATATTTAATAAATTAAAACAGTTGTATATAAATATAATTAAGGGTCAAGATTGTTAATGTAACATATATCAGTGTAAAATGATGTAACTCTTAATTTATTTTTTATAGCAGTTATTAGCCCTATGGCATGAACTAGCTAGCTATGGGTTAATTCCATAAATATTAAAAATTATATGACATATCTAACAAAGCTTTTGGATTTCCTTTATTTAATTTAACAGTTTGAGCAACAACGAGTACATGTTGCTTCAGCAGTTGAATGTTGCGTGAAGCAATATGGCATTTCACAAGAAGAGGCACATAAACTCATTCTCAAGGAGATCAATGATTTATGGATGGTTATAAACGAAGAGTGCCTCAAACTAGGCCGCATCCCAAAGCCCGTGCTTGATTGTATTCTTAATGTGGCGCGTATGAACGAGTTTACGTATGCAAACTTTGAGGATAAATACACAAATGGGGAGCTGTTGAAAGATTACGTTGTTGCACTGCTTGTGGATCCAATAAGCATCGACCAACATTGTAACGGGCCCATGTGAAGGATCAGGCCCACCTCAAGACTTGGATGAGGAACCCAAACGGACTCGCAGACAGCCCAGCTATCCCAAGGACTATAAAACGAGTTAAAGTGTTATTGGGCTTTTTAATCAATTCTAATACTGCTTGTGAAATGGGCTTGTTATTGGGCTTGTTAACTGAAAGACTCTCTTATTTTCTGTATGCTGTAAGGTAATATGTGGCCCAACGTGAATAGGCACTATATGGTGACTTGGTAGTTAGCCGAATGTAAGCAGAAATTGGTTCATTTTTCTCTCTATTCTCCCTCTTTCTCTCAGATTTCATTCTCTCTCTCTATCTTCGCTCTATCTCATCTAATGTTATTAAAACTGAACCGACCTGGCCTGGTCGACCCATGAACTGGTAAACCGGTCATATAACCGGTCCGGTTCAAGCAACGAAAATGATCCTGACTCATACATACATAATATATATATATATATATATATATATATATATATATATATATATATATATATATATATATATATATAATTATTGGGAAGAAAAAGGTTGTGTATAAAAGACTTGGTGTCTAAACGAAAAGCTGTTTATTGTTCAGGGATCGGTCCCCTTATATGATATGTCTATGATAGTACGATACAGATAGTGCAGTTCACTTTCATCGCTTTGTGACAACAAGTAAAATGCATGGTGTAATCTGATTCATCTTTGCCGATCGATATTGCTGGCATTTTAACTAGCAGGACTTTGACTGTATTGCTGCGGTTCTCAAAAAAATTTACTGAAATGCTGTGCGGGGCAAAAATGTTTCCAAAATGCCACAATGGTAAACTCATTGTCAGTGACAATGAGTTTTAAATGCCTCGTGGCACAAGATCTTAGGCCACCAAGCTTGTTGTCAAATATTTTTTCAAAATGCCACAGTGGCAAACTCGCTGTTAGTGGCAACGAGTTTCAAATACCATGTGGCATGAAACCTAAATCCATCAAACTCGTTGTCTTTAGGCCACCACACTTGCTGCCAGTGGCACCGAGTTTGGTGACCTCACGTTTCATGCCATGTGACTTTTGAAACTTTCTGCCACTGATAGCGAGTTTGCTATCGTGATATTTTGGAAAAATATTTGTCCCCCACAAAATTTCTATCATTTTTTTATTTGAAAATCGTAACAGTTCGGTCAATGTCCCTTTAACTAGCAATCCCCGTGTGGCATGCAAGACCAAATTGCAATTTATTAATGTTATACGATAATAAAAGCATATTTTAATATATTTTATCTAGGTTTATTTTTTAAAACTAAAAATGTGTAACAAAAAGAAGAAATATTATGGTATTGAAATATAATGGATCAATTATTAATGAGTTACTTCTAACTTGTTGCACCAAATCTTTAAAAAGGAAGCCATAGTAATCGTGACATTAAAAGCATAACATATAGGATTGTTCATGAGGTAAAATAAGTTTGATGAGTCTGATAATTCAAATTAAATTAATAAATTGATTTGAATAATTGGTTCATTTTACGGTAAACTTAAACAAATCAATTATCATTGGTTTAATTCTCACATTTTTTTTCAACCTTAGATCCAAATTAACCCCAGCCTAAGCACTAGAGTCAATTTTTTCTTCTTCTAATTATTTTTAAGCTTTCAAAATTTACGTGTTTTAGATTTTAATAGTATGGTCTCCTCTTGTTTTATATTTTCTTTTCATTCATTTTAACATCCTCGCTCAATAATCTTCTTCCTACTTCAGTAATTCATGTGAGTAAACTACATTTGTTTCCTCTCTCTCTATGTGTGTGAGTGATGAAATTATATCCTACATATATATAAAAGTATGTGGGGCCTAAGTGGACCCATGTGACGAGAAAAGAGAAAAAAAAATAGGCTGAGCATACTTTTATGTATGTGTAGGAAATAAAATTTTATTTCCTAATATTTTTTTCATATGTACATATGTATTCACTGTAAGAAATTTTAAAATAGGATTATATGAAATTAGAACACCAAAAGATTTAGGCTTACTTGTTAAAGATATAATTCTTGATTTCTTAGAGGTTTCTTATTTCCTTTGATAGCTCATGCAATGGAAAGACCGGGATCTTCCTCTGCAATTCACACCACTCCCTGATCACAACTGTCGATGGGGCAAATTGTGGAGTGACGATTTTCCAACATATTGTGAATGCAGAGAGAACATAGCCAAACTTGTTAACCCTAGTCCCCTTCCCATCATGGGCCTATGGGTTAGGCCTACACTGTTATCCACACTAATTAGTTTACAGATATCCAAACCCAAATCAAAAGGATCACTAATTAGCCAGGCTTTATACTGTACCCCTATATGGATCATGACTTAGCCCGTTTTTATTTAAACAAGAAAAACTACAATTGATTGAAGCCCACAATTATTATAAAAAAATTTAACATTCTCCCACTTGGGCAAAATCAATTGTAAAATTTTAATTTAAAAGAGAAAAGGAAAACAAGTTATTTGAAAACGACTCTCGGGCTAAGGACTAGTTCTTATAATATGTCCACATTTTAAGAAAACACATGATCCAATGTGCGATATCTGAATATGACTCCATCCAACTAAAATCAAATAACATTGAATCAGGCGGTGGTTATACCATTATCGATATAAGACCTTCCATGGTCACAAATGTTACTTGACTCCATCAACTAGTCATTATTGTGGAGTGTAGCAAGAAAATAGCATGCCAATGTGATCCAACAACAGCCAAACTGCTGTTTTCTCTGTCAGTCCTCAAATTTCTCTCAAATGCCTTAAAGCCGGAGAAATTCCATGGTTTATCAAAAAACCATCATATAATCAAATATGGTGTCGACTACGGGCCTTGTAGTCCTAACAACACCATTATGTCTCAAACTCCCATATAGTGTCAACCACAGACATGATGGTTCCAACGACATTGAGTTCCAAAATCATCCCTCAAACTCCAATATAGTGTCACCCACAGGCATGGTGGTCCCAACGACACTGAGTTCCAAATTATCTCACAATTGATAAACAAAAATACATGTACTCAATATATACAATAATAAAACTCAAAGCATTATCAATTGCTCAAAAATAATTTATCTGTCAAACCAAACATCAATTATATTCAAAATAAATGGTTCAACACCGTAAAATAATAAATAATTCAAATTCCCACTAATCAACTAAATCAAGGGAACTCACAATACCCATGTTCTTCACATAAATTTTAAATATCATGGGCCTAAGTTCTTCGATTAGAGGGTCAACCAATGTATTAATAATTAAGTCATCCACAAAACATAATTAAATAATACTCATAGCTAATTAATAACCTGAGAATTCAACATTATTTTTCCATCACCTAAACATACAGTAAAATCCAAACAGGATACAAAATTCAAAATCCTTCATAAGGAGACCTTATACAAAGTTCATTTCAAAATAAACTCATATCCCAACATAAAAAACTAAGCAAATATCTCCCACTGATTCTACAATAACTTTAAGATCATCCAAAATCAATTATATCTCTCGCACTAAAGAAAATGTCAAGTATACTCTCCATATTAACTATAGGATAACTTTAATGCAATGTCTTATCAAGATCAAAATTCATAATAAAAAAATCTAGTTCTCATTTCTATTCATCATAATTCAATCCAATCAACAATTCTATTATGATATTATTCATATAAGAAGTATATTTATTACATAAATATAATTATATTAATTATGGACAATGAAACAATTTCAACAAAATAAGTAACATATTATAAACACTCCTTTGGGCAGAGTATATAATACACAATTATCCCACATTATTTAAAATTTCATCTCCATGTATGTTTCAAAAATTACTACTACAATAAACCCCTTTGGACATATAATTGCAAACAATAATTTTTATTAACAAAAAAACTGACGATTCAGAAATAACAATATGAATAATCATACCTAAATAGTATGAAAAACCTTATAGCATATGTTTCCCAAATTCATATTGCATTTACTAAACTACAATTTGTGTCACAAATTTCCAACCTCAATATCAGCAATTATATATCTTAGCTCACTAATTAAACTTAAATGACAAAGAACATAAAATCTATGATAAAATTGGGAGAGTAAATACTAACATTATAATCACGATAATATGTAACAATCTTTCATTAATTAAAATTTTGAAAAAGGAACATAAATATTTATTACAGAATTAAACATGAATAAGAGCTCACAAAATTAAATATGAATGAGAGCAAATAATTCCAAATAATTATTTATGCATATATAAAAAATTAAAATAAATATTTCAAAATGAATCAAACATGTTTTCAAATCTATTTAAAGAAACTAACATAGAAATTCATTATTAAGGCAAAACAAGTATGCATCAGAATAAACTAAAGGACAATATACACCTTCAATCAAATCAAGATATGATAATGAGGCCAACATAATAGTATATTTCCCTTTGGCCAAATGCACTAACAAGGTTAAACCAAGGCCAGAACCTCAGATGAGTTAATCAATGAGCACAACACTGGGTTTGAAAATCTATCCCCATTGGACAGATAGATTCCTAGACCAGTGAGCCTCCAATAACTTCATCTACAATCTCAAGAAGAAGTTGCTCAGGATGAGTTAATCATTGAGCACAACATGTTGTCATAACAAGGCCAACATAATAGTACATTTCCTTTTGGGCAGAATGCACTAACCAAGGTCTAAACTAAGGCCATAACCTCAGATGAATTAATCAATGAGCACAACAATGGGTTTGAAAATCTATCCCTTTTGGGCAGATAGATCCCTAGACCAATGAGTCTCCAATAACTTCATCTACACCCTCAAAGAAAAGTTGCTCAGTGAGCATACACTGACTTCAGAGATTTGTCCCCTTTGGGCAGACAGATCGCCTAGATCAATACATCTCCATTAACTTCATCCCAAACAAGTTCACAGTTATAACACACAATTACTCCCTTTGGGCAGGAAATTGCATGAAAT